CCCGCGTCTCCTGCAACGGCAGGCGGACTCTCAAGCACTGCGCCACCAGGGAAGCCCAATGCTTCAGTTTTTAATATCAAATTCACGGTGTTGAAATATATATATATTTTTATGTGAAAGACAGTCTATTTTTTTGAATTTTATACTCTGAAGTTACTTATTTTTCCATGTTTAATGATGGAGGGGAAAAGTAGGAGATGACGGAGGTTAACAGAAATATTTTTAAATTTCATGAGTACTTGAGAATTCCTAGGGGAATAATGTGGGGTTACTTTTTTTCCTTTTTAAAATAAACACAGAGAATGTGAAAAATAACAACTGAGGTCCTCCCAACTTAAAAAAGACCCAGCACAAGAGGCCACCTTTGATTCACCCCAGGTTCCCACACCTAACGTTAGATCTTGCCTGAGTCCTGTGGGAAGGAGAGGTAGTGAGAAGTGAAAAAGCAAAACAAAACTTTAGAGTGTTGATATAACAAGAGAAAAAAATTATAAAATAGAGGAAATTTTAGAGTTGCTGGGCCTTATGACTCTCAAGCAAAGCTGGCCTTCTTTCAGGGTGGCCCCTTCTGCCCTCCCCCTGCACTTAGTACTTTGTTAAAACAGCTGAATTTTCATCTACTAAAGAATTAGTGTCTACTCTGAGCTAGATCTTATACTAGATTTCTCTTCTTCCATTTAGCTTATGAGATTTTTAATGATTAAAAAGCAGCCTCTTATATTTGGTAGTGTATATATGTCCATGCCACTCTCTCACTTTGTCACAGCTTACCCTTCCCCCTCCCTGTGTCCACAAGTTCATTCTCTACGTCTGAGTCTTTATTCCTCTCCTGCCCCTAGGTTCTTCAGAAACATTTTCTTTTTTTTTTTTAGATTCCATATATATGTGTTAGCATATGGTATTTGTTTTTCTCTTTCTGACTTACTTCACTCTGTATGACAGACTCTAGGTCCATCCACCTCACTACAAATAACTCAATTTCATTTCTTTTTATGGCTGAGTAATATTCCATTGTATATATGTGCCACATCTTCTTTATCCATTCATCTGTTGATGGACACTTAGGTTGCTTCCATGTCCTGGCTATTGTAAACAGAGCTGCAATGACACTGTGGTGCATGACTCTTTTTGAATTATGGTTTTCTCAGGGTATATGCCCAGAACCGGGATTACTGGGTTGTATGGTAGTTCTATTTTTAGTTTTTTAAGGAAACTCCATACTGTTCTCCATAGTGGCTGTATCAATATACACTACCAAATGTAAAATAAATAGCTAGTGGGAAGCAGATGCACAGCACAGGGAGATCAGCTTGGTGCTTTGGGTCCATCTAGAGGGATGGGATAGGGAGGGTGGGAGGGAGATGCAAGAGGGAGGTAAGGGTTTCCCTGGTGGTGCAGTGGTTGAGGGTCCGCCTGCCGATGCAGGGGACACAGGTTCATGCCCCGGTCCAGGAAGACCCCACATGCCATGGAGCGGCTGGGCCCGTGAGCCATGGCCGCTGAGCCTGCGCGTCCGGAGCCTGTGCTCCGCAACGGGAGAGGCCACAACAGTGAGAGGCCCGCGTACCGCAAAAAAAAAAAAAGAAAAAAAAAAGAGGGAGTGGATATGGGGATATATGTATATGTACAGCTGATTCACTTTGTTATACAGCAGAAACTAACACACCATTGTAAAACAATTATGCTCCAATAAAGATGTTAAAAAAAAAAGCAAACATGTATTCAAAAATAAAATAAATGATGATAAATGTCAAAAAAAAGCAGCTTCTTTCCTACACAACTATTAGAATGGCTAGAATCCAGAACATTGATAACGCCAAATGCTGGCAAGGATGTGGAGCCACAGGAACTCTCTTTGGTTGCTGGTGGGAATGCAAAGTGGAATTGCCACTTCGGAAGACAGACAGGTTCTTGCAAAGCTAAACAAACGCTTACCATATAATCCAGAAATCACACTCCTTGGTATTTACCCGAAGGAGCTGAAAACTTTTGTCCACAGAAAAACCTGCACACAAATGTTTACAGCAGCTTTATTCATAATTGCCAAAAAAAATGGAAGGAAGATGGTCTTTCAATAAGTGAACACAGAAACTGTGGTACATCCAGACAAAGGAATATTATCCAGTGATAAAAACAAATGAGCTCTCAAGCTATGAAAAGACACGGGGGAACTTTAAATACGCGTTGCCAAGTAAAAGAAGCCGGCCTGAAAAAATTACATACTGTATGATTCCAACTGTATGATATTACGGAAATGGCAAAGCTATGGAGTCAGTAAAAAGATCAGTGGTTGCCAGGAGTTCAGGGGAGGAAGGGAAAGAAGAACAGGTAGAGCGTAGGGATTTTTATGGTAGTGAAAGTTCTGTATGACACTGATGGTGGATACATGATGTTATGCATTTGCCAAAAACCACAGAACTGTACAACATAAAAAGTGAACTTTAATGTAAACTATTGACTTTAGTCAATAATAAGGTATCAATGTTGGCTCATCAATTATAACAGATGTACTGTATGAATGAGAGATGTTAACAGAGGAAACTATGGGCAGGGGCAGGAGAGGAGGGATTATGTGGAAAATCTCCCATGGCCAGTGGCTGGGAATGGACATGCTCAGTTGCTACCTTTCAGAGAAAAAGAAATGCCTAACATTCAATCTGGCGTAGATTCAGGGTTGTTCCTGATGCCATTACTTCATGTCATTTTCTTCAATCTTATCAAATATGTGGGCTGACCTAGACTTCCTCCTAGTGGGTTGGTAATAATATCTAATTTATTTTGTCTTCTGTCTCTGTTGGCTGTTAAGAGGTCTGTGATGGACGGGGAGTGTAATGGAACTAGAAATATGTACTTGCAAAGGAAAGAGGCTCTTTCCGATCACAACTCCTATTCTGTTTCACTTCCTGTATTCAAGTTTACATTTCCTTGGTAACACCTATTCCAGTGCTCAAAACAAAGACAAATTGGAGAACCATGGCAACAAACCTTAATTTAAACGTTAGTTAAAAGAAAAGATGTCCCATTGAGCTTTTCTTTGGCTGGGTCCTTCCTCCCGCAGTGGGAGGTCTGATGCCAGAAGGTCCTCAGTTCCTCTCAGATTCCTGCCCTGACATGAGCTCAAACTTTGATAACGAGATGCCGGGGAGGCATGCACGGCAGGCAGAGTTAGGTGGGCCACCGCAAACCTGGAAATTCTGAGATCTGCAATGACTTAGATTCCCTCCCCTACCATCCACCTCCACTGTTTTCTCCATGGTTCTTGGTCAATTTAACTGCTATGTATACATTTTGGTGAACGTGGACCAGGCTTGGATGCTCAAATGTTGGTAATACAGTTAAATTTTATGCTTATTTCTCACCCTGAAATTTAACAGTTTAATACTTACAACTAATACAAAAAATAATAAAAATTATAAGCTAAGTCTTTTCATTTGGCATAATAATCATTAATGATTTAGAAAACTAATGGAAAGAATAACATAAGAAATTGTGCCTTTTTTGGCAGAGAATTATTGTCCTAAGTTAATGAACCTGCTGGAAAACACACCTCTGTCAAAAGCCATCTTGACATCTTCAATTAGGTCACTAAATCCTGAGACTCGGTACAGTCCTTCAGAATTAAGACCTGTAGAAATAAAGCAGGGAAGCTAATTAGTTTCTTTGGAATTATGCCTTTTCTTCGAATTTTAACTTCTCATACTTTAGGCTGGGGAAGTAATGTGTCAGGAAGAATGACGAAATATACATGTTTAGAAAACTCTTCGCACTTTTCTCCTAAAATAAAACCATTTCACTCACAGTTCTTTAATTCTGACCTACTGTGACTTGAATATCTGTAATTTGGCTCATCATTTTGTCTAACTACATCAAATACCTTAGGTCTTTAGGGAAATTATTTCATCACCCCCTTTACACCATAAATTCTTTTACATAATGGAAGACTAAGATAAACTATATTAACAGGCATATAGCAGTTTTTCCCAAGTGGCAAAGAATAATTAGGGTGCATGCAGTTCTGGTTTTTGGTTTTTTGGCCTAGGATAGTTTTAAACAGAGCATTTATACCTTTTGCTTTTTGGACCTAAGAAAAAATATAAAAACTGAAAAATGAATTGGTACCTACATATCAACTTTTACAGACAGGAAGCATCAACCATAAATATATTTTAAGCATATTTCTTATAACTGGTTAAACGTACCTTGAAATCATGCTGGTTAATTATCTGTTAACTGATTTCAGACTTTCAGATCATTTATTATCTGAAATCATTCCCCCTAAACTTGCAGAAGAAAACTTGGTTGTGCAGTGAGTTACGACTGCTCTGAACCTTGCTGGAAATGCCTCACCTCGAGATTCAATCTCCCTGATGCACATGTCCACCACCATGGGCCGCTTAGTGATGTGGGCTTTCACGAGTGTTGTCAGGTCACAACTGTACACCTTCTTGACATGTTTCAAGTCTGGCTTACAGTCATTTGGGACCATCTTGGAACACTGCTTATGAACATTCAATCCACAATCTAAAGAATAAAGAAAGGAAAAATTCATTATTATTTTCAGAATTTTGAGCATTCTGGAGTGTTTATATTGGCAAGACACTCCAACTTGAATTAGGTTTAAAAGGGGACTAGCTTCCAGCCTGCAGAGTGGGGGAAACATTCTTCTCATTCTCGAGGAAAATCCTGATTTTAAGTTAGAAGACTAGAATTCTAGCTCATGTTGTCATTTACTTGCTGTATGGTCTCAGGAGAATACCAACCCAGGCCAAACAAAATTAGTAAGTGTTCAATTAAATGTCTACAAAATGTAACATTACACCAACTAGCCAACTAAAAATTTAAAGTTCCATTTCTTTAAAGTTATATAAAAAATTATATTCAATGTGGATATAACTGCATTTTAATAAATCTGATATGAGGTGGAATTGAACCTCCAAAAGTAAGAGTATCCCAGGGCCCTCTTAAATTGATGCTGCTCATATGTGTATCTACTCCTAATTCTTTATATATATGTATAAGATAATGGATATAGAATACATCTAGTAGCTAAAAATAGCCACAGTTATTATTTGTTACTACTCTTATCAACAGCTTACTAATGCCAAGCACTACTCCAAGTGCTTTACATTATTTACAGAAAACTATAAACCAGGTACTTTTATTCTTCTCTTTCATAAACCCGATGAAACCAAGCACGTACGTGTTAAGTAACTTACCCATGGCATTTAGTACATTTGAGCTGAAATTCAAGGCTACAAAGATTGTAGAGTCCACGATTTTAACACCTATACCATATTGCCTCTGCTGAAGTTGTTCCTTTGCTTTGTCGTTTTATTGGGTTATAGCTTCTAAGATGCCAGAACCCAAATATTTTCTAGTTAATATTTTGAGGTATTTTATTTTCAACAAGAGGAGCACAATGGCATTTTAGAAGAAATAGAGAGGGATACAAATATTTTGCTAAATTGGACCTAAGAGACATGGACCATACCTGAATAATTTAACTAAAACTAAATGTCACCTTTATATTTGTTTAAAATATTACCCATTTGTTTTTAAGTTCATGAAAACTTGATGCTGACCTCTCATAAATCCAATCCAACTGAGGTACACACAATTTATAGCCAGGTCTTAATGGATTTGAAAACCATTCAGTCCCACGAGCACTGTCTGTGGTCCTTGGGCAAGCTTCAGTTTTGCTTGCTGCTTGGGCAGAAACGGGAGCATAACATTTACCTCACAGAATTGTTATGAGAATTAATAAGCCAATGTATTCGAGGTGATTTGCATATTATAAAACGTTAGACAAATACCGATGATCATCATCATTATTATGACTTTTGGTAAAGCGGAAATCTAGTTATATATATGGCAGTAACAGTTAACAAAGACGAGGAAAATTAGCCAAAACTTATAAACAGAATTGTTCTTTCATTAAATATGTAGATATTACCAACTTGAAAAAGAACTTAAGGCTTGTGGTGACTCTAAGGGAAGAAGTCATGTGTACTGAGCACCTCCCATGTGCAAAAACAGGCTAGGGGTGGAGGGAAGCTGAGTCTTTGAACATGTGTGTGTAAGTGAACAGCACTGGCGATGGCACAGCCCATGCTAATAGTGTCCAAACATCGTCATCACTAAAGAAGAACAGGTGCTGCTTTGAATACGTAAAGGCTGCCAGGGCAAGGAGCTGAATCTGTACCATCTGAAGAAATGACCCAACACTGTTCTGTGTAGTTAAATAATGTCCAAATGAATACATAACCCAAACCCCAAATTCCTCTTTATTCTATATTAGATATAAATAAGATTTCTGATTCAATCATAAGGCAACTCAATGGCAATGGCCACTTAAAGGACCTCATTTCCCCTGAAATTTTAATGTTTTGTATAACTTCCGTAATTCAGAGTTAGATCTAGAATCTATTAGCTGTGTGATTTTGAGGGGGTTACTTAAACTTTCTGTGCCTCAGTTATATAAAATGGGAATAATAATAGTATTTATCCATTAATATTAGATCTATTATTAGGTTCTATTATTATGTTAATGTGAGGCTTTAATGTTAATACACACAGTAAATTATAATTGTTTACCATGACTCTGTTATTATTTAGAAGAATGAAACATTTTGAGAGGCCTTTCCTAGGTAGTGCCCCAGGGTTCACTGTAGGGCATTGTCATAATCAGCTTAAGGTCAGGAGCTAAGCTGACTTCTAGGCCAATTCTGTGTTCGTCAGATGTGAATGCCAGGTCCTGAAAAGGACTTGGATGCTGGGGTTATAGCTGCTTCCTCATCTACACTGTTCTTTATACACTTCATTTACATAAACGTACCTCCAAATAGGTACATCATTTTTCTCTGACTGCTTTCACCAAATCTGGGGAGTCTTCAGCCACCAGTTTTTCAAACATTTTCCACCCTCCCACTCTTTATCCTCTCCCGGGACTCCAACAACACAAATGCTAAATCTTCTGTTCTACAGGTCTCTGAAGCTCAGTTCACTTTTAAAAATCTATTTTTGCTCTCATTTGAATTGGATAATATCTACTGATCTATCTTCAGCTTCACAGATTCCTTCCTCTGACATATCGTATCTACCATTGAGCCCATCCCGTGGGTTTATTTGTTAATAAAACTTTCAGTTCGAAAATTTACATTTAGTTCTTTCTTATATTGTTATTTCTTTTCTGATATTTCCTACTTTTTTCATTTGTTTCAAGAGTGTTTTTAATTGCTTCTTGGAACGTTTTTATGGTAGCTGCTTTCCTTGTCTGATAATTCCAACATCTCTGTCATCTCAATATTGGCGACCGTTGATTATCTTTTTTCATCTGAGTTGAGATTTTCCTGGTACTTGGTATGAAATGTAATTTTGAACTGCATCCTGGATATTTTGAGTGTTATAAGACTCTGGTTCCTACTGAAATTTTCAATTTTAGCAGGCAGTTAACCTGTTTAGATTTAGAATGCACATCCCGGCACACTTTCATAGGCTGTGTTTCAAATGTCAAACTAGTTAACAAAGCCTTTGTAATGCTACTGCAGTGCTATTTTGCCTACCAAACTAGTATGTTACTCAAATGGCAGGACTCTACCCTACATTCTGGGGAGGGAAGAGGGCCATATCCTAGTTATTATTGCAGGGTAGGGATGGAAGTCAGGGTTTGCCCACAAACCTGGTGGGGGAGGAGTGCTGTGCTGCATGGAACTGCAGGGTGGGCACGGAAGACAGTTCCGATCACGGTCTCAGCTGCCTCATTACTGCAGGTCAGGGATGAAGACAGGGCTCTGCCCATAGACTTGGGCTGAGTGGGTGCTGCTTCTACTATGGGCGGGGGGATGAAAGTCAGGGTTCCACCCACCCTCTCAGGAGGGGTTCCACTTTCTTCCTGCAAGACGGTGATGGAAGACAGGGCTCTACTCACAGACTCACAGGAGAGAAGTACAACCTCGTTACTGCAGAGTGGGATGGAAAATACCCCTACCCACGGACATCCAGCAGAAGTCCGTGGGTAGGGGTAGCAATGTGGCTTTATCATGGTGTTCACCTGGAGAATGGTAGATACCGCTAAAAGACTTCTGTCCGGCTTGGGTGCCCTTTTCCCAGGGCTTTGGCTAGGAAGAGCCAGCTTTTCTTCGGATTTGTCTCTGCCTATTGGCATTTATGGGTTGTGGGTATCTTTAATGCTCAGGCTGGGATACACAGGAGTTTCAAAAAACCCCAAAATACCACCAGGCAACTCGCTTCTGGGTTCCTTGAGTCCTGAGGTCCCTTAATCAGCCTTCCTTCTTTTACCCAACTTTCAGTCTTTTGATAATTGATGTATATATTCTGTCCAGGGTCTTTTGTTATCATTATTGTGAGGAATAAAACATATTTATTCAACTCGTCTAGAACTGGAAGAACTCTTACATAATATTTTAAAAGTATAAAAGTCAGCAGAGCTTCATTATCTAAAAATAATGTTGATGTGCCTCATATTTTGTGAACACAGAAGTCACAGATCCAGCTGGAAATGGCTGTTAGTAACAACCTACCCCAGTGTCATCTTTTCACAAAGACAGTGAAGCTCAGAGAGGCTAAATGACTTGTTCAAATTGCTCAGCCAGAAACTGGTAGAACTGAGATTTAAAACTTGGCTTCCTAATTCCCAGCCTGTGCTCTTCCCACTGAGTGATATATATACCACTTTTCACCAGCAGTACACCATGTACGCTGAGTTATTGTTTTCAGGGTTGAAGATGAATTTGCTATTTTCAACCTCTTATTCAATAACATATGTTGTACCTATTATTTGTTGTATATACTTAAGTTTAAAAGGCTCTGCTATATTTTACTGTTACAGAAATCTATATGTGATTTGGCAAGCACTTTTAAAAAGCAGTGATAAAACCTACCCATTATATTCTTGTTTTGTCACATTCTTTCCTAAGTAAGTGGAAATCCACTAGAAGGTAAAACAGTAAAATTTAGATGCATCCACAGAATATCAAAACATCTGAATGGCACTAATGGTCTGATACTAATATTAATGTTTTTCCTTTGAATGTTTGCAGTTATCTCCCATTTTACACAGCAGCAAATGCCTAATTTATTTATGACTCAGTGAAAACTGGATAAAGAGATGACTGAGCTCAGATTTAGGTATTTAACAAGAAGGGAAATGTTTTCTAAACTGATATTCTTTCTTACATTTGGATAAGATCAAACTATGGGACAATATATTATACTCAATTTTAGAAATAAATTTCAAAGGCCAAATTTTTTGGCAGGATTGGACATGAAGTCCTTTAAAAGACCAAAGGATAGGGTAAAGTCATTAAAGTATCGTTACACCCTTAAGTTCACAGTGCAATATACCAGCTCTGCGCTTGCTCTGAAAATTGCTGCTTCAGGGACTAGCAATATATCAATATTTCAGGTTGCCATTAAGACTTTATTTGGTTTTCATACTTATTTATTAAAGTCATATAACTCCTATATAGTTCAGTTTCTCCCAGGGAAGTTCTACAGTATAAGTGAAAAAAAAAGTCCATAAAAGATTATTTCATTTGTTACATCTCTTGGTTTGGTAGGTTATTTTTATGTTAAAATTAAACCACATTGCCCCCTCCCAATTCTTCAAGTTAATAAGCACAGAATAAACACATGAAAGGAGGAATGAGAAATTCAAATCATATTTCATTCTGTCCTTATTAATCAAGTATTTCTATTAGAATACTAACTTGAGGTAACTTTCAGATTTTCTGGGCTTGATGTCTCTAAAAAACATGCGTGCTTTATATCTAAAAAGCACAGAAACCTATTTTTTGAAATAAATAGCTGATATTATTTATATTCTATTGATAGGATTAAGGGGTAATGTTAATGTGTGTTTTGAAAGGAAAGGTAACCATTCATTCTTTTCTATGAGTGTTCCTATTTTAAATTAATTGCAAATAGAAGTTTTAAAACATGTCTCTCAGCTGTCCCTACCTCCACCTCCACGCCCACCCAGGAAAAGTGGGACTAGCCGATTTCTAACATGCATCAGAAGTCATTATTTTCACATGCAAAATTAAGAAGAATACTTTGTTCTTTGGGATATTTATGAAAACACTGCTTTCAATTAAAAGGAGCTACATGAAAGTCGTAAGCAAGTCTAACCAATTTCTCATTGGGTTACAAGGACAAACATAACTTTTTAGGTACAATCAAAGCAGTAATTAAAATCGAAGACATTACTTCCCCTTCTCCAACCTAAAAGTTAAGTGCTTGTATGCGCAAAGCAATAAATACATTTTATTATTAGGAAAAAAACTGCTGCCATTTCCTTTTGGGGGCCGGCAGCAATGATAATGATACACTGGAAAAATGAAGTCACTTTCATAAATAACCAACAGTAAGTTGATGTGTCTGATTTACAATTATTATCCGGCTTAACTTCTTAGAATATTTAGGGAAGGCTAAAATGAAAACAATTCAGGAATGCTGGTGGCATAATGGTCTTTTTCATGAGAGAGATGTTTGGTGATCTTATAATAGATTACTTTAACCTATAGGCTTAAATTTCATAAAGAAAGGAAAAATGGTCTGGGAAAATTATTCCATCTGAACAACAATGATCCTTTGCACCACTTAACTTTTGAAGTCCACTTACTTTGCTCGTAAAGGAGCACCACTCCCAAGCTGCAGTTAGATGGTCTCTTGCAACGTCATTTTACTCACTTTAAAGAAGCCTAACGTAAGGGAGACCGTGGTAGGTGAGACGTTTAACGCCGACTGTGGAACCTCATGTTGTGGAGTTTTGGGAAGATCGTGTCTGCAATGACTGCATCCCCATGACTGTCCCTGCTGCTCCCTCAGTTGTCCTTGTCAGCTGTGGGTGTTGAGCAAGCCTAGAGCTTTCAGTACTGAAGGGACAGCGTGCTTGCTATTAGCTGGATTCAGTCTGATTCCTTCAGCTACTCTGCCACCAGCCTGGTGACTGGAACATCACCCAACACTTTGCATAATGTTAAAAAAAAAAAAAAAAAGAGCGGGGTGGTGGAATACAAAACTGCTGCTTTTGGCAAACATTCCTTTAAAAATTCCTGACAACCTCTCTTCTGCCTTGGTGGATTTTGAAAAAAGAAACCAGAAGAAAGCAAGCTGTCTTACAGATCAAAAGCAGATAAATACATCTCTTTTCTGACAGGCAGTATTACTTTCATTTTTCTTTGGAAGTAAAAGCTTTAATGCTTAGTGGCTAATGTAGTAGTCTCCTGTTGCCGCTGTAACAACCATAAACTCAGTGGTTTAAAACAACATGAGTCTATCATCTAACAGTTCTGGAGGTCAGAAGCCCAAAATCAGCTTCACTGGACTGAAATCAAGGCCTTAGCAAGCCTAAGACCTCCTTCTGGAGGTTCCAGGGGAGAATCTGTTTCTTGCCTTGCCTTTTCCAGCTTCCAGAGGCTGCCTGCATTCATTGGCTCATGGCCCCCTTCCCCATCTTCAAAGCTAGCAGCATAGCATCTTTGCTCTTTTCTGACCTCTGCTTCTGTTCTTATACCTTTTACCTGACTCAGCCTCTTTTGCCTCCCTCTTACAGGGATGCTTTGATTGTGATTACACTGGGCCACTCTGACAGTCCACAGTAATCTCCCCATCTCAGCTTCATTAACTTAATCACAGAGTCTCCTTTGCCATGAGAGGAAACAGTCACAGGTTCTAGGCATTAGGAAGTAGACATCTTTGGGGAGCCAACGTTCACCCTACCACAGTTAGTTCTCTCTCTCTCTCTCTCTCTCTCTCTCTCTCAGTTCTTAATTCTTTGCATTCTGTTTTATATAAAGTATATGGCTCAAAGGTCAGGATGACCTTTCACTTCAGATGAAAGAATCCCACTGTCAATCTAAATGTAATTAGTTGTCACAGAAAACAGAAGTAATTCAATCCTAACCTTCCATATTAAAAAAAAAATAGGTTGACTTCTTCTTATATTGCTCAGTAATAGGGTTCCAACCACATAGAATATAATGCTTTTGAAGACAAGATATAACATAAAATGAAAAGGCTTTTCTTTACATTGTTGACATTTACTCACAATAAAAAGTGGAGGCTATTCAAGTGGGTGGCTATGGGATGGGGTGAATCATTTTCTTCTTTTCCTTCACATTATCACTATCATAAACATTCCAAAACATTTCTCCTAAACATGATATGGGGTTGTAGCATATGGCCAAAGATTATTCACATGTGCTGTGCTAGTTCTCTGCTAATAGCTGACTCAGAATTTCCACGTAGATGGCCTTCACTCTTTCAAAATGTAAACGATAAACATCATCACTCTAGTAAAAGAAAAGCTTTTGAATTAGTGACAGTCTTAAAATGTGTAAGAAACCGTTGCAGTCTCAGTTGGTAAAGGCTATGTCATAATGGCAAACCAGGCTTATTAAGATGACCATTCTTCAAGCAGGTGATTTGTGCTTTGGAAAGGGTACTCCATTTGCCTTTGGAACACCACAACGATGTGGATGTTCTTAACTACACGACTATGTTCCGTTCAAAGGCTCAACCGCAACCTTCCTCCAGTTAAAGGCTCAACCACAACCTTCCTAGTGATGGGTCCTCATCCTGACTCTGGGTAACCACCAGCCAGAAAGACAATGTTGTCCTCATTTATTCTCTGGGCAGAGAACTGCAAATGGGGCTGTCAGCCCTCTAGGATGTTGGAGGAATTAGACTGGCTCTGAGCTGAGGCTCTCCTTGACGGACACGTTCAAAGTAAAGACGTGAGGAATTCTTCCCCCTCCTCATGGCAGTGAGGTCCCTGAATGGATCTAGCTAGTGATACATGCCTGGAACCTTATCATGCCTTAGTGGTGCTAAGGGAGTTATAACTGAAGGAAGGGAGACTTGGAACGTTCACATGCAATGCATACCACACCTTGCTATTCAAAGAAAAGGCAATTTAGAAGTAAGAAAAGTCAAACCCCAGAAGTTTCTGCACATAATGGACAACGAAAATATTCCATTAGGAATCATGCCACAAAAGAAATGTGGATTTTTACAGTGCTAAATTTGACAGAATTACTTCAGCTACCATTTTGAAATACTTTACTCTTCACATACATTTTTAGAGTTAAGCTTCAGGCCAAAGATATGTAAGAAGGTATTTTTTAGTTTTACAATTTAAATAGCAGAAAGAAACTTCTATGACCTAACATTACACATCTGAAATTTAAATAATTATTTTTAAGCCTATACCGGAATTTAGAGCAGTTTGAATAAATGGCCAGTACTCAGTATAGTTGTTCTATACAAATGAATTTCACATTATGCGAATAACTACTTATTTCATAAAGCATTTCAATAAATCCCTGAGTTGGTTATTTCTTTATGTGGAAACCTTCAAGTTTCTAAATTTAAATCTAAAATACTGTGATCATATTTTATAAAGAGAATATGGCATATTCAAGATTCTTAAATGTCACAAACAAAATATTAGTGACTAGGTGGTTTTTCAGAATTTGGTAATCATCTTTTAAGATAAATTCACAGATTTTTAAAGCTTCAATTTGATTTCACAAAAGTTAGTAAGGACAATTCAGCTTAACAAGTTATCTTTAAAATTCAGTTTCTAAGGCAACAATCATAGGTCCCTGTACACTGCTTTAAAAAAATCATTCTTATAAATTTAGTTGCTGCAACATCAAAGGCAAGGCAAATATAACTGCCTTACTTTTATCTCCTTTTATCAGACTTTCTGAACAAGACAACTTCTCTCTTTTTAATGGACCAGACTGCTGCCCATTAAGTACAAGAAGGTGAAGGGCAGATAACATATCAATAGTCAAACTGGCTGCCTGAGAAATCCAGCCTGTTGCATGTTAAGAGCAAACGGGGGTCCAGCCCATTATATGTGCAGAATAGCAAAGCTCCTCATGAGTTACTCCTTATAGCTTCATAACTTACACAATCAGGCGAAAAGGGAAGAGCTCTTACCTGCACATCTCACTCCCTGAGCAATGAGTCCCCACATGAAGTTGGCACAGTATTCACACCAGTGCGGCCCCCTGAATGTGTGGACCTGAAAAAGAGTAGTGACAAAGTGGCCCAAGGGGAGATTACAGATGAGGAGATTATTTCCCTTCCAAGGAGTCATACACAAGCCATAGTCAGTATCAAGAGGCACAATATGGTTACTGTTAGAAAAACCCTGGTTGAGTGGAACTGCCAAGCAGTTACAATTTCCTTCAGAGCTTGATTTCCTCTTTGTTTTAGAAATGGTGATAAATCAAACCAATATTCTGCTATTTACTTTTGAAAACAATTTCTACAGTGGAATTTTCCAACTGGTCCCCTCCAGCTGGAAGCAGTCTCATCTGTGCGCTATACAAGTATGGGCATATTCTGAGCGCTACGGCATGAAGGGGGATGAGGACTGATGTAGATAGAATCTGTCTGTAAGGATTTTGTCAGATGATCCATCTCCTGTCCTCTGTGACCACAGTCAGGGCCACGGGTGGTGAAGGTGGTATTTAGTGGCTGGTTACAACAGAATCATCAAAAAGGGCTAATATCTGTTCAGAACCATTTGATACTATGTTAGCAAAAGAAAATGAATATATTTTAGAAACTGCAGAAGCTACAGTTGATCAGAAACCCTGTTTGAATACAGTAATTATTCACTCATCTTTCCAGCTCATAAAGGTTTTACTTCATTTAATTCTTTTATCTCTAAGGAACCTCCAAAGAAGGATTCAAATGCCAAGATACCTATAGACTTTATGGATAGGAAAGAGAAGCCATTCTAGCTTAACCTAAATGAAAAACTATTGGTAGAATAGAGAAGCAATAAATCCAAACCCCAAACATTAAAGAATAAAAGAAAAAATATCTTGAATATTATCAGTAACACTTTAAGACTTCTGAGCAAATATTGGCTAAAAATGTACTCAAAAAATAAGTCAGGGCTTCCCCGGTGGTGCAGGGGTTGAGAGTCCGCCTGCCGATGCAGGGGACACGGGTTCTTGCCCCGGTCCGGGAAGATCCCACATGCCGCGGAGCGGCTGGGCCCGTGAGCCATGGCCGCTGAGCCTGCGCGTCCAGAGCCTGTGCTCTGCAGCGGGAGAGGCCACAACAGTGAGAGGCCCGCGTACCACAAAAAAAAAAAAGTCAAAAGAAAAGGGAGGGACAGGGAACAAGGAAGTTACTGATTTGATCTGTATCAAACTGCATCTACTTGAGATAACTTCTTACATATATGTGATTTGCTCCAGCAGAAAACAGTAATACAAGAGAGTGAAAATCACAAAGTGTGATGATTTGATTTCAACATAAATATCTGCCAAAACAGCTATGGCAAATAATGAAATTCACAGCTAAGACTGTCATTTTTACTACTGTTCTATTTATATAAGTGATTTTTTGTTTGTTGGTTGGTTATCTATTTTATACACAGTAGTGTGTATATGTTAATCCCAGCCTCCTAATTTATCCCTCCCCCTTTCCCCTTTCCTCTTTGGTAAACATTCTGTTTTGGAAGTAAGTTCATCTGTGTCTTTTCCTTCCTTTTAGATTCCACATATAGACGATATCATATGGTATTTGTGTTTCTCTGTCTGGCTTACTTCACTCAGTATGATAATCTCTAGGTTCATCCATGTTACTGCAAGTGGCATTATTTTATTCTTCTTTATGGCTTAGTAGTATTCCACCACACGTGTGTGTGTGTGTGTGTGTGTGTGTGTGTGTATGTGTGTGTGTGTGTGTGTGTGTGTATGTCTTCTTTATCCATTCATCTGCTGATGGACATTTAGGTTGCTTCCATGTTTTGGCTGTTGTAAATAGTGCTGCAATGAAATTTGGGGTGCTTGTATCTTTCCGAATTATGGTTTTCTTCAGATATACACCAAGGAGTGGGATTGCTGGATCGTATGGTAGCTCTATTTTTAGATTTTTAGGGAACCACCATACTGTTCTCTATAGTGGCTGCACCAATTTACATTCCCACCAACTGTATAGGAGGGTTTCCTTTTCTCCACACCCTCTCCAGCATTTATTGTTTGTGGACTTTTTAAAGATGGCCATTCTGACCAGTGTGAGGTGATACCTCACTGTAGTTTTGATTTGCATTTCTCTAGTAATTAGCAATGTTGAGCATCTTTTCATATGCCTTTTGGCTATCTGTATGTCTTCTTTGGAGAAATGTCTATTTAGGCCTTCTGCCCATTTTCTGATTGGATAGTTTGTTTGATATTGAGCTATACGAGCTGTTTGTATATTTTGTCGGTCACATAGTTGGCAAATATTTTCTCCCATTCTGTAGGTTGTCTTTTCATTTTGTTTATGGTTTCCTTTGCTGTGCAAAAGCTTTTAAGTTTAATTAGGTCTTATTTGTATATTAGTAAGTGATTTTTAATATATATATATATAAATAAATAAATAAACTTAATTCAAACTTAAGAGGCTACTGAACATAAGACTTACCCTGAATGTAAGATACATATATTCCACTTAGAAAAACCATGCCAATTAATTTATGACATGCCACTGATTATAAGCTTAATCTCAATTTCAGAGATGTTAAAATGAAAAAAAAAAAGCATATAGTAGAATCAATGAAATATGGTACATCAGAATTCGAAATACTACTACTGGTCAAAATATCCATATATGGTAGCAGTGAATAACCCAGGGTTCATTCCAAGCAGGTATGTGCTTGTGACTCTTCTGATCACTGCCAAGTAAGCTCAAGTACAAAATGTTGTACTGATTTTGAAAAGGTGGCCATAATCCCTTCTATGTCTTTTATGGAAAAGGGTCAGGAATGCAGATTCAGTTGCTTCTGGATTGTTAACGATGTTCACAGCCTGTAAACTGAAGGCATTTCCTGGAGTTCCTGAAGCCGAGCTCAAGATCAACTTTCAGATAGTCTGTGATGTCTTTATTTTCTTCTGTGTTCCTCTGAGTGAATAAAACTGGATAAAGTATGTAATCTTGCTTTTAATCTGAGGCGAATGAGTGAAATAGATAGCACTGACTCATATTTTAAAAGTTATATAATCATGAAATAGCTAGAGAATTGTGAAGTTATTTTTAGGGGAAGTCTCAGGATAATCCAGTTTTACTTAACTTGGTAAGGTTAATAAATTGGATTAGAAGTGTGGAGGAAGTCTGGCTTTGTACCTGCCAGTTACTCATGATAAAGGGTGTTAGAGTTCTACTGGTATGTAAACCACTGAAACAGAGAAGGGCTCTTGGCAAACACAACTGGGTATTGAGATGTTGTGACAGAACTAATTCCCTTCCTCACCTTCACAAAGCAGTAATGAATGTGGCCTTTTGAAAACCTTGGGGCATTTCTTCATATTACATATGCTGAAGGAAGGGCTTCACTGTCCGAGGGGCCCAATGTTCTCTAATCAGAGGATCACACTCGCATCTGAGAAAGTACATCTTCAGGAAATTGTTCTTTATACATTTCCTTCTTGGACAGGTTTTTATAAAGGCATCTTGCCACTTGGGGCTGGTTTTAGTGGTGGTGGTGTTTTTACTTTCGTTTTTTTAAACTGTTTGTAAGGCAGGTTATGTAGCTCTCCAGGAAATGGTTCTAGAAGTAGGCCTTGAAGCACTGGAAGCTTACTAAACTTGTGTTTCTATAAAAGGATTTAACCGGATTCCCTTTTAAATTTTTGTATCTAAAATTTGTTATTTCTTAAATTTTGTTTTGTGACTTTCATGACGCTGGATTGTATTTGTAAAAATGGAGTATTGTAGTCTTTTTGTCTTTTTCATTCCCCTAGAGGTCATCAAAACAAGTAGACGTCACTCATTAATTATTTTTATTCGTTCATAAACAGTTATTGGGTGATGACACATACAAAGATTAAACCAAATATTGGCTCAAGGAATTCACCATAGGTTTCTCCTGTTAAATATAATGTGAAAAGCCTCTTCTGAAAGTGTCTGCAAAGTGTGAGGGTAGCTGGGGTGGGCACTGCTCGGGTATTATGCGTGAACTGCGGCTTCCAGGATGAGCAGGGTCAGCCAGGTGAGCAGATCAGGCCTGAATGGGGGTAGGCGTGTTGGAGCGGGGTGCATTAGGTGACCCTAATGACCGGTGTGGCAGGAGTTGAGAGGCAGATGGGGCCTCTTCCACGCCTACAAATGTATACTTTGTTCAGTCAGCAATGCAGGGCCGCTGAAGACTTTTAAGGAAAGTGACACAGTCGAGGGGACAAGGCTGGAGGAAGACAGACTAGGGTGCTACAGCAGTAGTCCAGGGAACAGAAGACACGGATCTGAAGTCAGACGGTACTGATGGAGAACATGGGGCAGAATCAACAGCGCTTGGTGACCGACTGAATCGGAGGCAAAGGAGAGAGGAAGAACGAGGGCTATAACTCTTAGGGGGAAGATGGCATTAACAGGGGGAAGAGAAGCAGAACAGGTTTGGAAGTGAGGTGGGAGGGAAACAGTGGAAGAGATGGAAATGGCTGATTGAAGATTCCTGAGAAAGAGGAGGTAACCCATGGAGTAAGGTTCCTGAGGGCATCCAATGGAGATGGGAGCCAGGGCAGAGGGATTAGTTTGGATAAGAGAAAACTCAACTCTTCCCCTTCCCTGTGTCGGCAGGGCCAAGGGTAAGGGGGAGAGGATGGCTGTGCAGTGCAGGAGTGGTGGGGGCCTGGAGGCAGAAGGCTAAGGGAGTTCATACCCAGTGGTCTAGTTTCTGTGTGTTAGGAAGTAAGTTCAGTCACAGAGCCAATTAAGAGTTTAGAAAAAGTGGGGAATAGGAACTGTAACTGGCCAGAAATTCAGAGAGGGGCTGCTGGACTTGAAAGCAAGCTTCTTTCCTGCATGTCATTACAATCATACTGTAACAGTGTCAAGTGCATTAAAGGAAAAGTGACAAATACTTTCTTTGAAAAAGGGTGATTGTATTATATTTGAGCTTTATCTAAATGTTTTATTTTATATGCAGTTTTATGTCATCAGTGATGTTTTTATCACATATTTTACCAATTCAGAAAAAGGTATCTTTAACAAGTCAGTTGCACCAATTGCACAACTTAGAATAGCTCT